CGGCGGGCGCGAGTTCTACCCTGCCTTATAGCATAGCCATGGGTCAGAATCGACCCGATGGCAGTGAGTTTATTTTGGGGATTTGGATTTAAAATGTGCTGGGCACTGGGCCAGATACTAAGGAGGCGGCAGACGTGGCCATCCTGTAGCTCCCCGTCCAGTTGGAAAGACAAACATTTCACTAACCACACAGATAATCAGCAAATTGCCTTTGTGATCAGTTCTGTGAAAAGGTGTGTTAGGGCTACCCTTGAGATACTCAGCACCACAGCTAACTTCTGGCCAAGGGTCAGGATGACTTTGTTGAGAAAGAGGCTTTGGAACTGGGACCTGAAGCACGGGGATTTAACCACGAGACAGTGGAAAGGGAGTGTGCAAAAGAACAGCGTGTGCAAAGGCCCTGGGGGCAGCAGGGGGTAAACCTGGCATTGAAATCCAGGTTTCCCGGCAGACGGTCAGACATCATAACTGCCGCCACTGCCGATCCATTTCTTGATGCCCCAGCACTGACCTGGGGAGCATGGTGCATCTCGTGAAATCGCGAGGACCATGGCAGCATGGCAACTGCCATGGCATCGTAGTCACAGCACCCTAAGGGGGTGGATGCCAGGAGCATCTCACCAGTTGCCTCCTGGGAGAGAGGCCTGGCCCCGGCTCTCCAGTCATCACCAGGCTGTCCATGAGGCACTGTCCTGGATCACTGTGGATGCCATTCACTCACCATATTCATCAAGACCCTGGGCAGAGCGGGATCAAGTCACTGCGGCCCGTTAGTTTTCCTGGAGGGATTCTCATATGTGGATCACCAGGCCTTTCTTCCTAGTCTAGAAACACTATTGGTCATAGATGATTGTAGGTATTTTGCAGCATGGGGACTCAAGGCGCAGAACCATGATGTTAATTGCCCAAAGCCTCACAAGCTCTACGTAACAGAACTGGGACCCCAAACCCTTTGTTGCAGGAAAGGCATTTTTATGGGCCATGTTAATTGCTCTTCCCCGTCTCACTTAATCCTGGTGCTCCCCCACCACACACACACACACACATGTGGAAGGAATAAGCCAGAGCATAGCTTGACCCCACCAAAGCCCTGGAAACCGGCCAAGTGGCCTTCACAGGGCCCAGCCCCACCCACACCCCACTCCCCACTCCCCACTCCCCAGGATGAGCAGCAAGCTCAGCAGCAGCCCCGGGTTTCTGGGCTGATTTCCAGGCGTCTCCTGGGACCAGGCAGGCAGCCCTGGTGGGTGTGGATGGGGGCAGGGTCAGAGGGCCGGCCTCCTGCCCCTGTTCTCTCAAGGCCAGTCAAGGGAGACAGGGGCTGCAGGGGCAAGGGCCAGGGCTGGCCAGGTGAGTGAGTGGGAGAATGCCTGAGGAAGGGAGGAAGGAAGGATGGACACAGGGCCAATGGGACAGGGCGAAGGAGGGCTGTTGGGGCTTCGAGGTGCGAGTGATGCTCACCTGGCCCTCACACTCCTCTCTTCCAGGGCCACCCAGGACCCAAAGGGGAGACGGTAAGACCCCGGATCTCCAGGCAGTGGGTGGGGTCCTCCTGGCCCTCCGCAGGGGCTCCATGGGGACCGTGGAGGGACTTCCCCTCAAGGTCGCACCCCTAGGTCCTTACATCAGGGCAGGCAGGGGTTTCTCCACTGGAAAGCAAACGAGGGAAGGGAGATATGTGACGTGGCCAGTCTGTGGGGACCTCAGGGTCACCGAGGCAGAACTTCCTCCAGGGGACACCTCCCTCCTCGTCCGTCCCAGACTGCACTTCATGGCCCAGGCACTCCTGCCCCAGCTGGGCACAGTGGAGAAGTGGGCATTTACACCACGCCCCGCCATGCCCCTGAACAGCTTTGGGGGAAGAATTTGCTTCCTCCACGTCCCCCCCAGGTCACTCTTTGTAGAAGGGACAGGTCACCTCTGTCAAGGACACCCACTCCAGGGGAGCGACCAGTCCCCAATGGGCCTGCCCTGGACTGGAATGTGTCCCCGCTTCCCATGTCCTGGATTGCCTCCATCCTGTGAGGGACGGCTCCAGCTCCACAAGGTGGCAATTCAGTCAGGAGTTTGCCACTGGATGGCATGAACCATGTGCCAGGCTCCCCCATTGCCCTGCCCAGTCTGGCAGGAAGATGTTCACCACCCCCCACGGGGCGCTGGCAGGGAACAGGAGGACGGCAGGCCCAGGCAGCCGAGGGAGGTGGGTAGTGTGGTTGGGGAAGGAGGCACGTGGGCTGGAGACCTGGCTGTAGCCCTCACTCTGTCCTAACTTCACAGCCCATGGGACCCTTCCCCCCTGGGGTCTTCTCTCTGGGCCTCAGCCTGTGCATTCAGCTACAACGTCCTGGGTGCTTTCTCTTGGCAAGCGGGGTTAAGTGCTCAACATGTCCCATCTCATTGAATGCTCAGCACCGCCCTGAAGCTCAGGGGTTCTCAGTAATTCGCCTGAAACCACACAGCCATGGCGGGTCCAGCATAGGGTCCAGCCGTCATTGAGTATGGGGGGTGTAGTGGTTGGTGACCCGTTGAGCTGCAATCTGCAAGCAGTTCAAAACCACCAGCCACTCTGATGGA